CAGTGCAGGAATCTCAACTGAAGCATCCACGGCAGACAGGAGTGCCAGCTTAGTCCCTCCAAGGTTGCTGGCTGGGGCTGTGGGTGCCCCGCAGCGTGCATAGCCCTGGCATCAAAATGTGTGGGTGTTCAGCCCATTCAAGGGGGATTTTTGAGTGCTTGGGCACCCAGGGCCCCAGGGAGTTGGCACCTAGGATGGCAGCTCCCCATCCAACCTCCAATGTAGGAGAGTCCACAACTTCCCAAGGGAGTCTGTTCCACAGAAAGAGCTCTAACTGTTGTAACTTAAGGCCATTGGTTTGAGTCCATCCCTCCAGAGCAGGAGAAAACAAGCAGGGGGGGGGCAGGAGGGTGATGAGGACCTCACCCAGGAGCTGGAAGAGAAAAGAGAGAGTGACACCTTCTGCCAGGGGGCCCATGTGTGGGTCACCCTCTCCCCACAACAAATCCCACAACGGATTCAACAGATTGAGGTTGAATCCTGACAAGACAGAAGTACTGTTTTGGGCGGACAGCGGGTGGGCAGGTGGGGGGGACTCCCTGGTCCTAAACGGGGTAACTGTGCCCTGAAGGACCAGGTGCACAGCCTGGGAGTCATTTTGGACTCACAGCTGTTCATGGAGGCGCAGGTCAATTAGAGCTTCTCCTCCATGAATCTTTCTCCACCCCATAACTCAGCCTGGGCAGTGATGTCCTCCTCCAGTGGTTCATGGGAGTCATTTTGGACTCACAGCTGTTCATGGAGGCGCAGGTCCAGGGCAGCTGTCTCCCAGCTCCATTTGCTTTCCAGGATGAAACCCTCACTACCCACAAACTGTCTTGCCAGAGTGGTGCATGCTCTGGTTATCTCCCGCTTGGACTACTGCAATGCACTCTATGTGGGGCTAAATTGGAAGGTGACCCAAAAACTACAATTAATCCAGAATGCGGCAGCTAGACTGGGGACTGGGAGTGGCTGCCGAGACCACATAACACCGGTCCTGAAAGACCTACATTGGCTCCCAGTACGTTTCCGGGCACAATTCAAAGTGTTGGTGCTGACCTTGAAAGCACTAAAGGGCCTCAGTCCAGTATACCTGAAGGAGCGTCTCCACCCCCATTGTTTAGCCCAGACCCTGAAGTCCAGCTCCCAGGGCCTTCTGGCAGTTCCCTCAGTGTGAGAGGTGCGGCTACAGGGAACCAGGCAGAGGGCCTTCTTGGTTGTGGCACCCCGCCCTGTGAAATGCCCTCCCACCAGATGTCAAGGAAATAAACAACTAACTGAAATCTGAAGACAACCCTGTAGCAGGAAATTTTTAATGTCTAATGTTTTACCATGTTTTATGTCTGTAAGCCACCCAGAGTGACACACACACACAGCCCCCTCCAGCCCCCCAGCCCCCCCCCAGGCAGCCCCTTGGGGCGGGGGAGCAGCCTCACCCTGAAGCTGACGGGGTCCATGTGGAGCTTGTTGCAGAGCAGTTCACGCAGCTCGGAAAAGGTCTCCTTGACCTTATCGAGGTCCATTGACGGCGGAGGTTCTCGAGAGGTTCCCAAAGCGAGGGAATAAAGGCCAGCTCCAGGGGAAGATGATCATCAGGCTGGAGAGAAGGAAGGAAGGAAGGAAGGAAGGAAGGAAGGAAGGAGGAGAAAGGTAGAAGCACAGATGGTTATTATCCAGGTGGAAAGAGGAGCTCCTGTCCAACCTGGAAGCCCCGAAAGAGCATCTCCACCCCATAACTCAGCCTGGGCAGTGATGTCCTCCTCATGGTGGTTCAGCTACAGGGTACCAAGCAGAGGGCCTTCTTGGCAGTGGCTCCCACCCTGTGGAAAGACATCAGATGTCAACCTGGGTGGCCTGAAAGAAAGACTAGACAAATTCATGGAGGAGAAACTATAATGGCTCCTAGTCTGGCTGGCTTTGCTCTCCCTCCACCATCAGAGGCAGCGATGCTTCTGAATACCACTTGCACGAAACGGCATCAAGGGAGAGGCTCTGGGGGTCCAATCCTGTTGCCCATTGGGGTACATAGTTGGCCATTGGGAGAAGAGGATCCTGGACTCAATGGGTCCCCTTTGGCCTGACCCAGAAGGCTCTGACTTTTCTCATTCCCAGTCTTAAGGAACTCTGGGAAATGGAGTTCTGTGAGGGATCACTAGGAATTTCCAACAGAACTTTCAGCAGACATTCTAGACCTTCAAGTCCCCAGAATTCTGCAATACTTTGTTAAACTATTTTCATGCCAATAAAAGTGGATTGTGTGCATTTGCCCAGACTGATTCAGGGGACATTTTAAAGGGGCGCAGAATCATCTGATAAATGCCTGCCTGGGACCTTAACCTTTCTGGCTGTATGACTTTGGGACACTTTAGAAGTCTTCAGATCTACCGTAGCTCATCATCATCTGAAAGTGCAATTAATTATCCTCAGTGGGCTCAATTATCCTCAAGAGACAAGCAATTGAAACTCTGTTTGCAATGCTTTCTTGGGCCCTACTTCCTCCCAGACAACATCCACACCTTCCTCCCTTACCTGGCCTTGAGCACGGCTGTCCGACCTCCGGCCCCCATAACCAGCAACTCAGCCTCACTAGCGCGGACTGCAGAGGGTGAACATGAAACCCCTAGGGGTTGTTTGTATAAATACATAATATACAGCCCCACTGCAAACACTGCCAATCTCCCAGCGCCACCCACCCTTCACAATCCACCAAATTTAATTCTACATACAACCAGCTCATTAAGAAATATGCAGAATCCATTTCTCTTCTTCTGCGTCTCAGAAGCCGTCAAGATGCTGCACAATGTGGTCCCTCCTCTCCCTTTCCCTCTTCTTATTTCCACCTTCAGGCTCCAAGGAGGTGGGCTGAGGTAATCTCCACAAAATCCTGGTCTCCTCTCCTTCCTCCCCCCTGAACTCATAAATCTTCCTGCTTAGGAGACAGTCGATCCCGTTGTCACACCTCTTTTCTTCTTTACTGCTTTTATTTCTCATGAGGAAGTCCCAAGGGGTGTGTGTGTCAAAATCCCTCAAAAGTCCCTCAAGGTTGTTGCTCTCCATCTTCTTTCAGGCAAAGTCCTGACTTCTAAAATTAATCCATTGCAGAGGCAAATTTATAGTCCGCTCTACCCGTTGCAAAGTATTGGAAGACACAAGATCTACCCACCTTGGAAGAATGGCAGATGAAGGTGATGGACTATATGGAATTGGCGGAAATGACTGGCAGAATCTGAGACCAGGGAGAAGAGTCGGCGGAAGAAGATTGGAAAAAGTTTAAAGATTATTTACAGAAATATTGCAAAATTAATGAATGTTAGAATGATGCTGGATAGAAACTAAGTGGTTTTTAGCTGTAATGCAAAGGAATATGAAAAAATGGTTTATTAACAGGTAAAAATTTAATGTCATAATACTTTAAGATTTAAGATTAGGATAAATAAATAGGGAAAGGATTTGCTGAACCAACAAATTGAACTGGAATACAAAAAAGGGAGGCGTGAGGAAGTCCAGGAAACAAGCAAATGATAGATAAGTAATGGAAAGATGGAATTGTTTTTAACTGTTTTGATTTTGTATTTTTCTTTTTTCTTTTTTCATTTTGTAATATTTTGAAAATTTTAATAAATATCTTTTTTAAAAAAATAATAATAAAGTCCGCTCTTCCCGAAATCTTTGCATTCCTTGCTTCAGGGGAAGGGAGATGACGCAGATCCCGACAAAGCCCCATAACTTAAAACATTCCCTCCCCTCCTTGCCCCGTTCAAGCAAAGCAGAAATCAGCCTGTTTCCACACAGATGCTTTTCTCCCGCAGCAGAAATCAGGATCTCTTCCACGGGGGCGTGTGACTCTTCGCTTGCCAATTGTGTCCCCATTCAAAGCTGTTCCCCGCCCTCCCCACGGGAGTTGGCCAGGGCTGTTCGGGGACAGTCTGAAATCCTTTGCTGAAGGAGCCAGGCAGCTTTCTGGGCCAGCGAATGGCCGGAGGGCGCCAGGAAGGCGCTTGCTCTGCGCCCGAGGACACCTGGCTGGCAGTCAGAAGGACAAAAGCCACAGGGGGAGCGGCTGCTTCCAAGCCTGGGACGGGGGGAGAACCCCGCCTCTGCTTCGCCTGGGAGACAGGGATGTCCATCCCGGCTCACAAACCCCCCCAAATAAATTAACGGACGAGCGCGAGTCGTGTCCATTCTATACCCTCGGAAGATTAGGGGAGACCTGCCCCTTTCCCCCCATAGACCTCCGCCTGGGACCCCCAAAGGGCGACTTGCTGGGTTCGCTGCCCCCCTGGCGTGTTATTTGGATCGCTTTGTTTGATGTTTCAATGAAGGTGATAAACTCCTTTGATGTTATTATGGGTGTGAAATATGTTGGCGGGGGTGTTTATTGGGTTGTATTTGTTTTTATTTGATTATGTGTTTTGTGTTTTTATATCGTAATTTCATCCTGTGAACCCCCAGATTTAATGAAGAAATAAATGGATAAAACGAAATGAATTCCCCCCTCTCTCTGCCGATTCGGAGGCAGCTCCGACACCCATCTGGAAAGAGGCAGGGAGGGGCATTGCGGGGGGGGGAGTGGCCCTTGGGGGTCTCCCTGGGTGGCCCTGTTGGTACCCCCACCCCTTATTCAGAGGGATGGAATCCAGAGCAGGGGAAGGGTCCGCATCCCCCTCTGAGTCTCTCGCCCCCAATTTCTCCACAGTAGGAAGCACAGAGAGGGCAACTGGCCAGAACTGGGTGGGGAGATGACGGGGGGGGGGCAATTGGGGCATGGGGGGGTCAGTCTGGCAGGAGCTAGAGGATGAAGGATTTGGGGAAACAGCGGGGGTCCCTGGCTCCGAAAAGCACTCCAGCTTCAGGGAGGGGGGCAAAGTGCCACAGAGTCCTGAACACCCCCCCAGTGGTGCTCAATGGTTCCTCTTGAGCGACAGAGAAGCCCCCCCTTTCCCAGCCCCCCAACTAACCCCCCACCCCCAGGCCTGTCCCCTCCCTCTGTCCCAGAGAAGGAGACATAGGAAGCCAGGTCAGATTGCAGAGGGAGGATTTATTAGAGGGTCAAGCGTCACATGGGGGCTGGAAGGGGAGACCAGCAGGAGGCGGCCACTTCTCCCTGGGGGTGTCTCAGTGGGACCGGCAGGCCAGCGCATGAGCCACCACCCCATGGAAGGCATGGTGGTAAGCAGAGATGAATTCCTGTCCAAAGGGGGGTGGTGGGTGGGTGATGAGGACTTTGACAGGAGCTGGAAGAGAAAAGAGGGGTGACTCCTTCTGCCAGGGGGCCCATGTATGGAACACCCTCTCCCCACAACAGATCCCACAGCAGATTCAACAGATTGAGACTGAATCCTGACAAGACAGAAGCACTGTTTAGGGTGGACTGGGGGCAAGCGGGTGTGGGGGGGACTCCCTGGTCCTGAATGGGGTAACTGTGCCCCTGAAGGACCAGGTGCGGACCCTGGGAGTCATTTTGGACTCACAGCTGTACATGGAGGCACAGGCCATTTCTGTTTCCAGGGCAGATGTCTGCCAGCTCCATTTGCTTTGCAGGATGAAAACCTCACTACCCACAAACTGTCTTGCCAGAGTGCTGCATGCTCTGGATATCTCTCGCTTGGACTACTACAATGCACTCTATGTGGGGCTAAATTGGAGGCACAGGTCATTTCTGTGTCCAGGGCAGCTTTGTACCAGCTCCATCTGGTCCACAGGATGAGACCCCACCCGCCCTCAGCTTGTATCGCCAGAGTGGTGCATGCTCTGGCTATCTCCCGCTTGGACTACTGCAATGCACTCTGGCTACCTTTGAAGGCGACCCTTTAGGTGGTTCCCTCACTGTGAGAGGTGAGGTTACAGGAAACCAGGCAGAGGTCCTTCTCGGTTGTGGCCCCCGCCCTGTGGAATGCCCTCCCACCAGATGTCAAGGAAATGAAAAACTAACTGAAATCTGAATGCAACCCTGTAACAGGAAATGTCTAATGTCTTACCATGTTTTATGTCCTGTAAGCCACCCAGAGTGACACACACACACGACACCCCCAGTCCCCCCCCCAGGGCAGCCCCTTGGGGCGGGGGAGCAGCCTCACCCTGAAGTTGACGGGTTCCACGTGGAGCTTGTTGCAGAGCAGTTCACGCAGCTCGGAAAAAGCCTCCTTGACCTCGTGCAGAGAGGGCTGGAGAGGTTCCTAATGAGAGGGAGGGCTGGAGAGGGTCATCCAAGTTAGAGAACAAACGCCGGGTCCAGGGGAAGACCGTCAGCCGGCTGAAGGGAAGGAAGGAAGGAAGGAAGGAAGGAAGGAAGGAAGGATAAAAAGAGAGGCATGGATGGTTATTATCCAGGTGGAAAGAGGAGTTCCTGCTCAACCTGCCTAGAGAGGCGACCACCCCTGGACTTACCAGGTAAGGGTATCATCACCCATGGCGGCCATGTCGACTGTCATCATGACGGTTTCCATGATGGCTGGCTGTGGGCTGGGAGCTTCTCTTGGCTGCTGGATAAAACCTTCTGGGCTGAGCTGGAGCTTCTTCCAGGGCTGGAGCCTTTTATACCCTGCGCCAAAGCTCCTCCTCCAGGATTTACAGAAGCCGTTCTGGTTTCTGATTTGATCAAAGAATGCTGTGATTTTCCTTAAGACATCCCTGTTTTCCTCTGAGAAATCCTGGAGAGTATGGAGTAATGCCATGCTTGTGCCAAGGAGATAAGCAAGTATAAAGGCTTTAGAAGACATCTGAAGGCAGCCCCAAAAGAGCGTCTCCACCCCCATCGCTTGGCCTGGAGATTGAGGTCCTCCTCCGGTGATTCAGCTACAGGGTACCAGGCAAAGGGCCTTATTAGCAGTGGCTCCCTCCCTGTGGAAAGACATCAGATGTCAACCTGGGTGGCCTGAAAGACAGACTAGACAGATTCATGGAGGAGAAGCTCTAATGGCTCCTAGTCCGGCTGGCTCTGCTCTCCCTCCACCATCAGAGGCAGCGATGCTTCTGAATCCCATGTGTGTATTTGCCTTGACTGATTCAGGGGACATTTCAAGGGGCGCAGAATCATCTTTCTCCTGAGAAACGCTTGCCTCTGACCTCAACTTTTCTGGTTGTAGGACTTTGAGTCACATTAGAGGTCCTCAATTCTGTCTTCGCTCCTGCCCCCTTTTGTACACCTGTTCTGCTTCAAAGCCCATATTCTGAGCGAAGCTTTTGTTCAGAGATGGGGAACCAGAGGTCTTCCGGATGTGGTCTGACTCTGCTTCCCATCCCCACTGCCAGTAGACAGTCCATAGGCTCTCAATCCCTGCCCTTATTGAACCTCCCTGTCTTCCTGCCCCTGCCGCTTCAAACTCTCCCTCTGCTGTTCTCTCCCCAAGCTGTCAAACCTGAATGTGAGCTCCCTGGGGCAGAGTCCTGTCCTACATTCCAAGGGCCCTCAGTTGATAAATGGTGAAATAATAATCATGATCTGAAAGTGCAATTAATTATCCTCAATGGACTCAATCATCCTCAAGATACAAGCAATTGCATCTCTGTTTGCCATGCTTTCTTGGTCCCTGGTACAGATCAGGGCATGTGGCCAGGATTGCGCAGGGCCACCCCTGTCATTGGGAGTGAGGTGGCTGCTTCAGGGGCAGATGCTGGGCTGGAGGACACAGTGGTGAGGCATCGTAGGACAAACACAGCCTGCCACCCCCAAGCTGGCTTGCTGCCTTCAGGTGCAGGAGAGAACATTGTCCCATCTCCAGCACTGAAGAAAGAGATTGAGCTTCCAGCTGAATCACGGGAGCTGCAGCAGTTTGTTAAGTATTGTGGCTCTTTGAGGGGGTAAACTACCCTTCCCAGAAGTCTTTGGGGGAAATCATGTGCTTTCACTGTACGTTGAGTACAGAGCCTGAGAAGATTTGGGTTTCCCCATCCTTGCTGAGGGTGGTGACAAAACCCATCACCCTCATGCCCTGGCTGACCACCATCAGTGACAGAGCACTGGGCTAAATGGAGCTCGGTCCAATCGGACAGGGCAGTTTCAAATTTCCCAGGAACTCGCCCTAAAGCCCTGCCAGAGGTATATATTTCTCTGTGTTGGGAGTTACCTGTGAGTAAGACCCATCAAATTCAAGAAGACATCCCTCTAGCTAGACATGCCGAGAACTGCGCTGTTACTTGTTGCCCTTAAATCCCATTTTTATTGGCCATGATTAACTTGATTTTGATGAGTTCTAAGCTCAACAAACTTAGTTTGGATTCCATTGTATATTCTTATCTGTCAAATGGGAATAATAGGGAATTCCTTTGAAGGGTAGCTGTGAAGTGATGCCAGGGGGAAACTGCCCAGCTCTTTACATGTTAAAAGTGTTCTTCAAAAGTATAACATCAGCAATTCAAGATCCACCCTGACCCTTGACCAATGTGCTGCTAGAACCAGTGTGGTGTAGTGGTTAACAGCAATAGACTCGTAATCTGGGGAACCAGGTTCGCGTCTCCGCTCCTCCACATGCAGCTGCTGGGTGACCTTGGGCCAGTCACACTTCTCTGAAGTCTCTCAGCCCCACTCACCTCACAGAGTGTTTGTTGTGGGGGAGGAAGGGAAAGGAGAACATTAGCCACTTTGAGACTCCTGAAGGGGAGTGAAAGGCGGGATATCAAATCCAAACTCTTCTTCTTCTTCTTTTCTGGGGGGACACAGGGTTGCACATACCCCTAAACATTTCCTGAATGTTGGCCTCATTGAGGGGCATCAAGGGAGAGGCTCTGGGGCTCCAATCCTGCTTGCCCATTGGGTTGGCCATTGGGAGAAGAGGACCCTGGACTCAATGGGTCCCCTTTGGCCTGACCCAGAAGGCTCTGACTTTTGTCATTCCCAATCTTAAGGAACCTTGGGAAATGGAGTTCTGTGAGGGAGCACTAGGCATTTCCAACAGAACTTCCAACTCTCTCTCTGCTTTTCTCTCCCCACGCTGTCAAACCTGTATGTAAGCTCCCTGGGGCAGAGCCATGTCTTACATTCCAAGGGCCCTCGATGGATACATGGCAAAATAATAATAACAATCTGAAAGTGCACATAAATATCATCCAAGGACTCAATTATCCTCAAGAGAAAAGCAAGGGTGCCAGAGGGTTCTGTCCTGGTCCCGTTGTTGTCCGAGCAGGTATCAGGGTCGCTGGGACGCAGTCATGATGGCTGACTGCTGTTGGACTCTGAAGAGAGACCTCCCTGCTGCTGAGCATTCCTGGAGTTCCAAGAAACGGAAGTTCAAGCCCTGAAGTTTGAAAAATGGTTGAAGCAACATGCAATTTACGTGTACTTGCCTTTATCAACTTACAGCAAACCTGACGTGATGGAGAGAAACGGATGCCATTTCCTGATTCAGCAGTGCAAAAATACCCTAAATCAGTTGTAGAACTCTAGACAACATTCAAAAAGTAAAAAATTGTTGCCCGAAAAGTTTGTGAATGCTTATTCAAAGCCAGCCAAGGAGTCCATTTCGCTTTGTTGCGTCTTCACATACTTTGGGTTCCCATTCATCTTTAAAGTCACAGTTATCCTTGTCCCATAGCTTATATGTCAGTTTTGCCAGTTCTGCATAGCCCATCAATTTTTCTTGCCATGATTCTTTAGTTGGGGTTTCTTCAGTCTTCCATCCTTGTGCTATTAGAACTCTTCCTGCTGTTGTCACATACATGAAGATGTTTTTCAGCTTTTTTGGCATATCTTTCCCTACAATCCCTAACAAAAATGCTTCAGGTTTTTAACAGGTTTTTTTAAATGTTAAATGGAACATTTTCTTCAATTCGTTGTATATCATTTTCCAATTTTTTTGAAATTACATTACTATCCCACCACATATGATAAAATGTCACCTCCTTTTCCTTACACTTCCAACATATATTTGAACTAGTTTTGTACATTTTCCCTAACTGCACTGGTGTCGTCTACCATCTGTACATCATCTTCATGTAATTCTCCTTCAATAGGGAACAATCTGTAAATTTTAAGTCAGTTTTCCATAATTTAACCCAATCTTCCATCATAATGTTGTGACCTACATCTTGTGCCCATTTAATCATAAGTGATATTACCTCTTCATCTTTCGTCTCCCATTCTAATAGTATCCCCCTGGCATCACTTCACAGCTACCCTTCAAAGGAAGCCCCTATTATTCCCATTTGACAGATAAGAACATACAGTGGAATCCAAACTAAGTTTGTTGAGCTTAGAACTCAGCAAAATCAAGTTAATCATGGCCAATAAAAATGGGATTTAAGGGCAACAAATAACAGCGCAGTTCTCGGCGTGCCTAGCTAGAGGGGTGTCTTCTTGAATTTGATGGGTCTTACTCACAGGTAACGCCCATCACAGAGAAATAGATACCTCTGGCAGGGCTTTAGGGCGAGTTCCTGGGAAATTTGAAACTGCCCTGTCCGATTGGACCAAGCTCCATTTAGCCCAGTGCTCTGTCACTGATGGTGGTCAGCCAGGGCATGAGGGTGATGGGTTTTGTCCCCACCCTCAGCCACGATGGGGAAACCCAAATCTTCTCAGGCTCTGTACTCAATGTACAGTGAAAGCACATGATTTCCCCCAAAGACTTCTGGGAAGGGTAGTTTACCCCCTCAAAGAGCCACAATACTTGATATTCTAGAAGGTAAAAATAAATTATTATCAAAAACATACGATTTATTATTGGATTGGTATAAGAAAGATGAAGAGATAAAGGAAGCTATGGTTAAATGGGCTATTGATTTTGGCCATAATATCGATTTTGATGCGTGGCAAGAACTGTGGAATGTAAACATGAAATTTACGGCTTGTACTGCTTTAAAAGAGAATTTGTGGGAAATGATCTACAGATGGCATCTAATGCCAGTAAAGCTAGCAAGGATGTATAGAACAAAAAATAAGAAATGTTGGAAGTGTGGGGAGGTAGAGGGTGACCTCTACCATATGTGGTGGACCTGTAGTAAAGTGAAGGGCTTTTGGGAACTAATCTATAACGAACTTAAAAAAATCTTTAAATATACTTTCCCAAAAAGACCTGAAGCTTTTCTACGGGGATTGATTGGAAAGGAAATTGAAAAAAAGATAAAAACCTCTTCTTATATGCCACGACAGCAGCCAGAAAAATGTTAGCTCAGAATTGGAAAACAGACATAATACCGAATATAATGGACTGGCAGGTTAAAATGATGGACTACGCAGAACTGGCCAGACTATCAGGAAAATTAAGAGATCAGGACGAGCAGAAGTTTCAAGAAAATTGGAG